GAACACAACGGGGAGTTAACCCGAATGGCATCACAAGGAACTCATAATGACCGTATCGAGTTTTGAAAGATGTATTTGGAACGTCTCCCTCCCCGACTCGTAATTGGTGATAACCCAACCGAAGATCAATCTTTGAAAACACTTGGGCCCCTTGGAGATGTTCAAAGAGGTCGTCAATTACAGGTAGGGGGTACCTATTATGCATTGTTACTTGGTTTAACTGCCTATAGTCAACACATAGCCTCAAGGACCCATCCTTCTTCACAAACAGGATTGGTGCACCCCAAGGTGACACACTGGGTCGGATAAACCCCTTAGTCAACAATTCCGACAACTTCTCCTTCAACTCCTTCAACTCTGCAGGAGCCATTCTATACGGGACTTTAGAGATGGGAATAGTATCAGGGACCACGTCTATCTTAAACTCGATCTCCCTCACTGGAGGTAAGGACGGAAACTCTTCAGGAAAGACCTCGAGTTACTCTCTCACTACTGGTATCCTCTCTAATTGGGATTGAATGTCCCGATTCTGAACCACATAGGCTAGATATCCCTCGCACCTCCTAGCCAGGAGACGAGAGGCCCGAAGGGCAGAAATAAAATGCAGAGGGGGAGTATCCTTAGTACCCTCAAAGTGTAGCTCAGATTGGTTAAGGCGTTTAAAGGTCATCGTCTTTTCATGGCAATTGACGGTGGCATGGTGTGTGGATAACCAATCCATGACTAGAATAACATCAAAATCTTGAATATCCAGGAGTATTAGGTCTTCATGCAAGTCGCATCCTTTAATTGAAACTCTACACTGTCTATAAACCCTATCAGTTTTCATAGAATCCCCCACAGGAGTGCATAGTACAACAGTAAAATCAAGACATGACATTTAGATAGCAAGCAAAATGGGGTGCGACAAAAGAGTGAGAGGAACCAAGGTCAATCAAAGCTCTCGCTTTAGCACCACAAATAGGAAGTGTACCTTTAATCACTGAGGTAGATGCCTTAGCTTCTTATTTGCTGTGGGCAAATACTCGTCCTTGTGTCTTTGGTCGATTCTCCATCTTGGCCATTGGGCAATCCTTGATCCAATGGCCAAGCTGGCCACACCTGAGACACTTGTCTAGCTTCTTGTAACATTCAGCTGATGTGTGGTTGTTCCTCCCACAATGGGAACAGACCGAGCGTTGATCATCCTTCATGTTACTTGGGCAATTCTTCTGGGCCCTCTGATTACGTTGATAAGGCCTCCCTCTAACATCCCTCTTTGGAAATTGTCGGGGCTTCTTCCCAAAGTTTCTCGATGGTGTGGGCTTCATCTTTCCTTCCCTCCTTGATCTATGGTCCTTCGTAGTCCGTCTCAATCTTTAGGGTGAGGTCTACTAATGGAGCGTATGACTTAAGGTTGGCCGACAGTACTCTCCTCTGATGTCTGACCGAAGGCCCCTTTCAAATTTAGCCGCCTTTCGCACCTCTGTGTTGATGATGTGAGCCACGTATCTAGAAAGCTTCACAAACTTAGCAGCGTATTGCTCCACTATCATACCCCCTTGTTGAAGCTCAATGAACTCTACTTCTTTTCTCTCCTTGACGGAGTCTGGGAAGTTCTTCTTGTCGAATGCCGTCAGGAAGGTTTCCCAAGTGGTTTCGGTTCCTGACTCTCCCCAGGATTACTTAACCGAGTCCCACCAATGTTCAGCTTCTCCTTCGAGCATAAAGGTTCCTAATCTGACTTTCTGCTCATCCAACTAGTACAACACTTCTAGAATCTTCTATATTTGTCTCTTCCACCTCTCGGCTTTCTCTACCCCTCCTTGTCTCAAGAAGGTTGGGGATGCTAACCTTCTAAATATTTCTATCATGCTACTATCGTTTTGCTCTGAGGTAGGGGTAGACTGGGCAGGCATCGACTATTTCATCATTTGGCATCGCTCCCAAAATCCTGTAAAACTCACCAAGCGTCTCGGTGTTCTTATTGCTGGAACTCGAATTGTTGGCACGTGTCGTCGGCATCTTGAACCTAGCACAAGAGCACCCAGCCACTAATATATCCTAAAACTATTCTAAGGGCTCTTTTAAAAAGCCCTAGGACGAGAATCCTATTATGGCTGCTTTGATACCCAAATTGTCACAACCCCATCCCCGACCGGCTTTTGTTAACACCAGAGGGTGACCGAGCACAGGTCCATGATCCCAAGGTAGCGTATGTCACTCAGGTCGGAGTGGACTCAACACTTTAATATTAGTGATTAAAGCAAACCAGATAAAAGGATGGAAACAGTAATTCTAAAGTGCAGATGTACATTTAAAATTAGGAGATTCCATACACCATAGAAAATGTACCACATAAAGTTTTTTCCAAAAATGTTACACTTGAGTTTGGGGCATCGACGCTCAATATTACATATTTCCAAAATGAACAAAGAGTTAGGGCCAACCGCCCAACAACATACCATGTCAGAATTCCTCCTCAATAGGGTGTGGCCTCGACTTCCAACTGCGAACCTCATACTTCTGACACTTGACCTATCGTTATCAATCTACAAGAGGGGAGACAAAGTGGGATGAGCTATAAAGCCCAGTAAGTAGATCTAGGTGCTATGAATCATTATTGAGTCTATCCATGCGTCATGAACAGTTCTTTCAATTATAAGAATTCACAATGCAAACGTCTTATAAATCAGAAATCATATCAATGCATCTATTACAGGTGTCGTATCAAAATTTCATGCTTATCATTCAATCATTCCAATCATCATAATTCACATGCATTATCCAGGCATCATCCACTCACTCCTTAGTTCTCCTACTCCCAAAGTAGACGCCCTATTCAGTAGTCCAAGTCAATCCCATTGTTTAGGATCTCTACCATGCATCAGGAGGGAGGGCAATGATAAGTGGGAAAATCCACTTTGTAATGCCCACATACTCATACACACGGTCCCCAATGCTCTTTGGGGTTTTCGATAAGCACTTACCTTGCAAGGCATCACTCACTAGTTTCATCATGTGAATTTCGAAGGGTATGACCCTCCCATTTACTTTCACCGAACTCCATCCTATCATTTAGCAAGTTAGGAAATATTGTCGACATCACTTTCTCAGCATAACAGTACCCACTATCGATGAGTGTCCCATCGCCCAGTGGGTAGTATGAGTATTACAGTATCCACTACCGATGAGTGTCCCAACGTGTAGTGGTTAGTATCACAGTTATCATAACATAACCGTGCCCACTACCAATGGGTGTCCCATTGCATAGTGGTCATCATCACAATATCGTAACATGTTCATACATTAAATTTACTCATACTTAGTCAGTGCCTTATGACAGATAATTCCAGTCTCATTATGCAAAGTCTGAGTCTTGTTCAGAAATGTATAGCTATCATGTACACTATGCCACTTAGCATGAAACATCCATCATAAGAGGCCTATCACATGGCACTTACACTTATCAATTAGCATTCATAAGACTTATTACATTAGCACTACAGCATTTATCATGTAACATTTATCGTAGAGCTATCACATAGCATTTGCACTTATCGATTATCACTTATCGCATTATCACATAGTATTGTTCACATAACACCATGGCGGTTAACATGCAGCATTCATCACATGAAAACTGATCGCATCGTCACATAGTATTGTTCACAGTAACCCATTTGAACACCATTTGACTACTAAAAAGTTCAATAAAAAAACCCTCACAATTCCTGAAAATTCCTTTTGCAAGTTTTGGCATGCTTTGAATAACCCATGACACTTCACAAACCAAGATAAACTTTAACGCAAAACCTTATTCATGTTAAACTAGTCTTTCAATTGAGCTACTTTACAAATTTCGATAGCTAACAAGTTTATTTACCACACTCAATTAGTCATTCAAACTCATTTTAACTCAACCACACCGATATCCTTCATTCTATCATTTTACTTATCCTTATTACTCAAATTTGATCACCACCAAATTAAGTGATGCATAGATACTAAACCTACTTACGTGATGTTCACGGTGCCTTTAAACGTCCCACTTGCAGGCCACCTCAAGCTCCAAGTAATGGCTTTCTCCAAGGGAAGCAGTTAACTCATGCTTTGGTTCTAAAGATAGAGTATGAGAGCAAGAGAGGCAAACGGCAGTGAAATGGAAGGAGAAAGGGATTTAAGTACCCAAGGTAGGTGGGATTCACTGTGACTAACCAGGTAGGTGGTAATCACTGTGGCTAATCGTGGGCAGCGCTGACACGTACGGTAGCAGTCAAATCTTCCCTTTTCACTCACGATGCTGCCTTTTCTTCTCGCACAGTGTTACTCCTTTTTCACGCGTGGTGTTATCTCTTTTACACGCACGTCGTTAGTCCTTTGAGTTTTATAATGCTCAAGCATCAAATATTCTTGAGTGGTTTGAATGGTGAAAGATGAAGGAGTAAGTGTGAATTTTTGTGGTTTGAATGGTGAACAATTTACTTACTTAAAGTACATCGTGAATGATTTGGTATTGCTTTACTATTAGAATTGTACATTTTCAAAACAGCATAATTTTATCGTATGTGATTTCCTCCACAAATGTGTGAAATAAAATTAAATCAATTATAATTTGAGCGTAGGAGATCAGGGATAATTGAATCGATTATAAAATTAGTTATAGCATTAGTGTTGAACCTCTCTGTCGCTCTATCTACTCTCTCTATCCGTAAATGTACTATACCATTACTTGGATTGTACACTTAACAATTTGAAAGACTCATGCCATAGTGATAATACATTGCATTGGATAACTATAATATTACATACAATTCTTCATCTACCTACCAAATGAGGTAAACCATTCAATAACAAAACTTTTCATATAAAGTTCAGTAATCTGGCCCAATGTCAAATATTTTCACATTCATTTCTCTCTCTCTTTCTCTCTCTCTCTTGCTCTCCCTACTTTCTATCTCCGTAAATATAGTATACCATTACTTGGATTGTACACTTAACAATTTGAAAGACTCATGCCATAGTGATAATACATTGAATTTGATAACTATAATATTACATACAATTCATCAACTACCTGCCACATGGGGTAGTCCATTCAATAACAAAATTGTTTATATAAAGTTCAGTAGTCCTTCCCATTGTCAAATAATGGTTCGTTCCTTGTACCCAATCACCTTACATAACACCTTACAACCCAAAAAGAAGTGAAAAGATTACAATGGCATACAACCTATATCATTTTTTTGAGTGAATGGCCTACAACCTACATCAATAATGTCAAAAGTTTAATAACAAAATTTTCAAAAAAAAAAAACAACATAACCCCTCCTTTGAAGTTGTTCAATATGAATTTGTCCTCTCTATTTGAGACATAAAACATATTATGATAAGTAACAATAGTGTTCCAAATGAAATTACAAATGTGAACTTACACGCATCTAAAAATATTTCAAAATGAACTTGCAAACATGCCATCCAAGAAATTGCTTCTTACCATCAACACACATATGTTGCCTTCTTATGGGTCTGAAGCTTTCGATGTGTTTTATCCTTAGCACTATAAGAGGAAGATAAATTCATATGTTAGCATTTCAATTAAAGATAATACAATTGTAAATCAAATACATCAACAATAATGAAGATAATACAATTGCAAATCAAAATAATGTAAATGTATACAATTGTACCTATCACAAACGAAGGACGGACAGCTCCTTTTGTCATGTCCACTGTTATTGTAGACTGCGCATTTCCTTCTTTTATGTATCTTCGGCTTCCATCCCCCAAAATGAGCTTTCAATCATTTAGTGGCCGGTTGTCCCTTTGTCTGTGCTCGTGTAGGTTCAAAGACATTGCGACAATGGTTACTTCTACTTGATGTGTTACTACAACTACCAGAATTGTCATCTTCATTCACATGACTCATGGCATTATCCTGTAGACATCTCTTGCACAAAAACCTTTCATCAAACTTATGAATTCCATTTTGTATTATGGACATTACAAACTTATGGCCCTCTACACTTTGTGAATCACGCTCGGCAAGGGATCGACTTGTTTGCATAGCCTCATTATATCTAATGGAGCGTGGTAGTTCGGATGTTACTTGAATTTGTTCCCCAATGTCATCAACAAAAATTAGCTTCTTTACATCCTTGGTCCAACACTTCATTATATGTTTTTGAGGGATTTCAAGCACATCTTTCACCTTAAAATTCTTCAGTATATGCCAAGTGATAACTGCAAGAAACGAAATTGTCATTGCAATTGAATTTCACTAAATAGGGTCCAGATCTGGTCCCCGAGACTGCCACCTTAAAGGTAGCAACATGTCCATTGTCTACAACTGTCTCCCTCGTAAAATTAAAGTAATTAGTCACCTCTTCCCCAAATATCTTTAAAATATTTTGAGTATAAATTTTTTTTGCATATGACTCAATGAAAGTGGCTGTTCACAAGACTGAAGTAGTTTGAATATCTTTCAAGTCATTTTCCCTCTCTTTTCGTACCTTTTTGTCTTGGACTTTTGCGACAACTTCTAATAATGTACGCAAGCTTGTTCTGGGTGTCAAGTACGTCTTGAAGTATGTATTCATCCCTTCACTCCTTTGAGTAGAGGTCATACCCGCAATGAACGTGCCAGCCAAGTATGCATCAACCCATTGCATGCGACAACTATAAAGCCTCCCGAGCCATTCATTGTCTTCCGACTTATAATTCTCAATCATTGATTTCCATCCCAATTCAAATTCTTCAATTGTTGGGCTAGCCACAACCTCCAAAAGGTATCTGAATAAAAAGGATACATATGTAAGATATAACACATTTTTCTTTGATTTTCGCAAATATGTGCCATTTACGATAATGATACTTACTTTGGTAAAGAACTTGTCTCACTGCATATGAAATTGTCGGATCTTGATCAGTAAGAATAACACTTGGTTGCCGTCCACCCATGGCTTCCAACCAGTTTTCAAATACCCATATAAATGATTATATATTCTCGTCAAATATGAGTGCAAATCCAAATAAGGTTGTACTTAAATAGTGATTTACACCTAGTATAGGTGCAAAGGGCATACCAAACATATTTGTCTTGTTTGTGGTATTAAAGGTAACCATGTCAAAAAAGCACTGATAGGAAACTTTAGATGTAGAATCTACTCATAAGATACTATGAATGTGATCATCATCATCTAATCTCAATCTATAGAAAAATGATGGGTTCGATTGGTTCTTTTTATACAGCCATTGCAAAATTAAATTAGCTTCTTCTCCTCTAATTTTTCTTCTAGCACTTGCTATTTCATTTTGGATACAAGGGACATTATCAATCCCTCCAACCTGCTCTATGAATATATCATGAATGTTCTAAGCTTAACCATTACCGAGCTCATTGAATGTATCAATGACTTCATAGCACTCGACAATGATCGGTGTGTGCGAATTAAACAAGCTTTTCTCGGAGTAATTAGATCGTGATTATGATCTTTAACAACGTTAGTCACTTTCCACTCGCTGTCTTCTTAACTACTTATGCACATCCTAACCTTGCACCCACACCTTAACTCAGGGTAAACCTTTCTACTTTTATTAGGTTTTTCTTGTTTAAACCCTTCCTTCAAGCAAATATAAGCCCTATCGATCCTTTTACCTTTCTCGTTATGAGTACTCCCCCTATGAATACCAAAACCTTTGGTCAATGCATAAGACTTAAAGAACTCATATGCATCATCCTCTGATCCAAGCATCATTTCTACACATGATTCTTCTATTTCATGGCCTTTGTTTGATGAGCCACAACCATCATCAAGGATTTCATCAATGTTGCTGCCTATATTTGGGCATGTGCTAGATGTCACACCGACTGAATTCGTGGGATCCATCTCAATTTCTTTACTTACCCAACGTGAAACTGCAAACTACAAGAATACATTTTCAAACAATCATTCATAATATACTTTTAACCCTTTTGCATAGATTTTCAAACAATCATTAATAAAAATGAGGATTTTGATTACATCCAAACTGACCCTCAATTTTCCCTTCACATACTTATATGTATTACGTAGGGGATAATTTGATGCGTACTTAATCATGTTTCAATAGATGGTTCAATATCAAATTCAAACAATCATACATAATATACTTTTAATATCATGTTTCAATGGATGGTTCAATATCAAGACAAAACAAACTTTGACAACGAAGATACTGAAATTGGAATTAAATTGCTAAAAATAATAATTTATGAAGGTTAGTGGTCATTTCTAGATTGAATTCAAACACACAAAGGTTACAAACATGTGATCCAAATGCATGAGTTCCGCCAACTGAAGCTTCAAGTTCAAGAATAAAAGTAGAGGTCGATTTACCGGTCAAGTCTTGCTTCCTTTATGGATATAAACTACAAAGCTTCAGACTACGTAAATTCTACATGAAATCCAAGTCCAACACCAACAAATATATGTCGTGTATCAGGCCTGAAAGGACAGAAAAACCATGCTAAAATAGGCCAGTACTCATTATGAGGTTGAATATGCCTACCAAAACAAAATTAATCATTAAAGGTCATAAAAAAAAATCCAGTGTAAGAAGCTACATAATTGGGTGCATGACATTTCTGTAGTTTGGTAAAGACCACCTGGCTGAATGCATTCTTTGGAAAATCCAAATATATATGTTGGGGACAGTTTAACATAAAAAACTACAAATTTAGGCATCCAACCACCTAGAACCACAAGATTCTCTCTTACAGTCCATCAAATTAGTAAGATTATGTTGAACTCACTGACAAATATGATGAACCATGCAAACAGTTAGCACAGGTGTGAAGCAGAGTTCATTCTTCTTTGCATCCATTGCATAGGTTAATGGAGAAGCAGATGCATGAATGAACTTTTCAATTTTTGGATTGAAAATATTTGAAACCAAAAATATGGTTAACCAATTAAAGAAAAAACATATCAGATATGATTAACCACTTAAAGCAGAAAACAAAAAACAATGTAATTGGAATGAACGCCATATATGATAACCCTGGGATTCATTTGACAGCTACGAAAATCAATGTATGACACTACCATGTTTGGCAAGACAATCTTTCAATATAGATATTTAAGAGCACCAATGAAACAATAGAGGAAAAAAAATATTGGTGGATTCCACAAAAAACCCAAACTTCCCCCAAATCGATGGAAATTAAGAACCCAGAGATTATATGAGTCAAATACACACAGAGGGAGAGTACCTGTGTGAGATGGTCCTCGAAGGGCAGAGACATTGCGCGAGATGGTGCTCAAGGGGCACAGCGCCTATCAATAGGGAACCTGAGGGACGAGCCTTTGGATAGGGAAGACAAGGGGCCGATGGGATGATCTGAGCGATTAGGGGAGCGAGAAGCGGAGAGGGTGCGCCAGTAGCAGGAAGGGCAGAGAGAGCGAGAGGGGCTTGGCACAGGGAGGGAGAGGCAAGATGCGCGAGAGGGGCTAAGCGCCTATTAATGGGCTAAGCGAGAGGTAGAAAATCAGGGAGGAGAGAGAGAGAAAACCAGGGAGGAGAGGCTTGGCACAGGGACGAGGAAGAGGCTAGAAAACCAGGGAGGAGAGAGAAAATCCCTGGTTTTGAGGAGAGAGAGAAATCCCTGTTAAAAATCCCTTGAAGAGAGAGCCACTCGCGTTTTGAGGAGAGATAAAACCCATGATTTGGAAGAGAGAGAGAGCCGCTCACATTTTTCAAAGTGTCAGCAGGTCAGTACTGTCAGTGGCTTATTCAAAAAAGGCTTTTGTATTCAATGGGGCAGGACCTTTGCGAAGGCATCTCGACCATCAATTGCCCAACTTTTGATCACAGCCGTCAAGTGCATATGAATGGGTACGCGAGCGGGTTAAACTCATCCTTTTTTTTTAATAAAATACTAATTTAATATGATACTTTTGTAATTGCTTCATAAGCTAAGCTAGATGAATTGTGTTCAAGTAAAAAATTATTATTTATGTATTTTATGATTTATCTTCAACCAAAAAAGTCAAGAATTAACTTATTTTGGGTGTGTTTGGTACCCTGTTTGGCCGTTGGAATTTGAAGTATTAGACCTTGTATTCACTTTGTAATATTCTTAAATCATAAGTAAAACCTTATACCATTCCCCCGTGGATGGACGTCACGCTTGTGTTATGTCATGTAATTGTTTTTTGTATTTTTATTCAATATTGTTGCTTTGATACCAAATTGTTTCCATAGTTGGTTTATGTTATCTTGGATTTTCAATAAATGTTAATGTGATATACCTTTGTTGTTTTTTACCTTCATCAATCACAACTGATATTAGAGCTTTTCACTCGCACTCAAGACCATTTCCCTACTTTTGCTTTGCCTAAGTAGTTCTTTACTAAAGCTTATTTTACCTTAGTAAGCTTTGACATTTATACCCTCTAGACACGTGTCACAGCACAAGGCCAAAAGGAAAAAGATCACAGGAGAATTTTTCACCCAGGTAATTGAGTATCATAAGCATGTCTTCGTTAATAGATGAAATGACTAAGAATTTATGCGAGTTTTCATGGATTCCTTGGGCATTCTTTTCCTGCTTTTTTTTTCTTTTATTTTCTTATCTTTTGACATGTTATCTGGCTAAGATTGGAACTCTGAAGTCATGTTGCAGCGACACCACCTTGATCCCCATGCTAAGAGCTTCATCTTGACTCCTTGAGAAACTTTATTTTGTTTTCTTTTTGTGCACGGTACATAAGCAAGGCTAACCCTTTATGTGGTAGGACTATCCGAAAAGCAAAAGCTAGACAACCAAACTAAAGTATTGAGAGTTTAAAGAAACTCAATAAAGAATTAAATTGGTTCTAGAAGTAGCAGGACAGTTATGCAACAGAAGGTGCGTGCTATTACGATGGGTTTATGGCTCAAGAGACAAAGGAATTCAAAGCCAATATGAAGTGTTTACTGCAGGCAGGTCTCTAGGATGAGGTCCTTGCACTGTTACGTGCCCAAGTTACCAGACAACTTTGAAACAAATCATGAATGAGTGGATAGAGCCACCATATATGGACGCTTTGTAGAGCCCTTCGAAATATCCAATTACTAGAAGCATGCCAGCAATGAGGTCGGTGGGCCTTACATGGTGAAGTGTAGGCCTGGGTGCTACAAGTACCTGCAAAAGTTGTCAGAGAGGAGGGAAGGCAAGATAAACGCGTCGACGTTCAACTCATCTTGGCTATAGGCAGAGGTGGATGAAATGTTGAGATAGAGGGTTTTGTAGAAATGAAGGAGAGAGTGTTGGATTTTGAAAGGGAGATGTTGAGCTAGAATAGTAATGGGATTTTAGTGTTAGGAAAAGACATAGGGGTGGTTGAGGAGTCTACATTTGTAAAATGGTGGAACACACTTCTAGTGGAGCATAGGGAGAATAATTGCATCAAAGATTGGTTTTGATGGGGGACAAGATAGCCTTCTTTAGAGGCAAATGAAGTTATATCTTCATTGGTTGATTTCAACAAGAGCCCTCATAATTGTTGTGAAGAGCCTTAGGTTTCTCTAAAAAAACTTAGTGTCTATTAATCAATATGAATATACAAGCTTCTTTTATATAGACAAATATAGATGATAAGAATAGAAATAAATCACAATCATATATATTATACCCTGACTTGCCATAAAATACAAGATATCATACCTATCATTCTCTTTTATACTGATTACAATGCATGCCTTCCATATTAACCTAATAGGCAATATGTACTTTCCTTTCACAATTGTAATAATCAGGTTGAAGATATCGTCGCCATTTGGCTCCCTTAATATGAAAACTCATGTGGCTATGTCAATCCTTGGTTATACAAAAAACTAGGTTATTAGTAACAGTAAGCTTGAAAAATTTTCAACAGGAAAAATAAAAAATAATTCATGTGATATGTTTAGAGCATAACAATCAACCAAAGACAACAAATAAATGTGTATTATCAATGATTTTGGTGAATTTCATAAACATAAGCAAAGAGCAAAAGAAAATCAACAAAAAATATTTTCCACAAAGTGAACACTCTTTATAAGTTATAAGCAAAAAATATAAAATAAATAAATAAATCCTCGAAAATTTTAGCAAGAAGAATTGAGGGTGCGATTGTTTTATGAAAGAGAGGGTTGCGAAAGCCCCCTCTCCCAATTTGGAAGCACTTAAACTCCAAAATACGATGCTAATTGACGCTTTTGGGGCACTTGGAATCCACTAATACCAAATGATGGCTCCCACTCCTATATAACAAACGCGGGGTGCTACAATCCGCAGCGTCCACGAAACAAATGTGTTATGACTTGAATGGTCCGCCGCTAGTGGGTGAGAGGACCCCCATGTCATTGTTTTGGATGTTATTCATTGGGAAAATATAGAATCTTTTATTGGATGAATGTGGCCATTAAAGGCCTTACGAGTGCTTGTAAAATGAAATGATATAGTGAAACATTAACTCAGTGGGAGCGTGGTCCTTCGTGGACCATAATGAGCAAACGATGTTTACCGAACTATGTTTGGCGGTCTAGACCAGTCGGTTGGGAAAAACCTATATTACCTAAGCATAGAAAATTAACCGATAAGGGTTTTAATGGGGTCATCCTTTGATGAGGTCGGAGTATGCCTCGATGAGTAAGCCGAAGGACTCTATGACCCTTGTGTGTGATGGTGGCCTTCAGAGACAGGGGCCAAGGCCTCATCCATAAACCATCACACGGCATGCATAATGATAGACCGTTTAAGAAAAGCGGACAACCTTTCAAGGTGAAGCTCATGCATGTGCGAGAGATACCCCTATGCGCTATAAGAGCTGTGGTCGCATCAGGTCTAGGTAACCATGACACGTCCCTATGGGGAAACCTGAAATCTACAAATTGGGATTATGATTCATTGGCTTATCAGCCAGACTTTGGTTACCCACTAATGAGCCCCTACATGGATTGTGGGTTCATAGAAAACACTGGGTCGATTAATAAAACAAGTGTGGACTATAGTCTACAGTTGAAGGTGGAGTGCCCCAAATTATTTATTCTTAGAGCATATAGATCTTTATCACATTTAATGAATTTAATTGTGTTTATTTTATGATGATATGATTTTAGAATTATTATTTGAATTCTTCTAAATCTCTGGATATTTTATTTATAAAATTTGGATTTATAAAAATGGAGATTAGATTTTTAATATTTTAAATATTCAAATTAATTCTAATATCATTTATTGATTTTAAAATATTTTAAAATAGCATTGGGGGCCATTGTGCACATAGGTCAACATGCCCTAAATTGGTGGGGGCAACAAAGCCACCACATGGGTGGCACACCCCAATTTTTGGGGCTTCCTATTCCCATAGGGTGGCACGCCCCACTTTTAGGGGGTTTTTTATATTTTATGGGATAAGTAGTAAAAGAAGATTTGAGTGAATCTTAAAATGCTTGATAAGACTTATGCATATTTTTAGATAAAACATTACATTATGATTAATATTATTTTATTTGATTTATATTTATGGGATAACGGTCAAAGGAAAGAGGGGGATAAAGGTTCTAGCACCTTCGATAATGTTGATGGTCTATCTATGAACTAGGTGGCTCAAATCTTTCGCCCCACAAGTAACCCAAGATCAATGATTCATATTCAATCTCACAAAAAGATGCAAGCTGAGGAAAACCCTAAGCAACCCTAATATTGTTTAAAGTCGTGGACACTCCCTTGAAATTCTGGCTAAAGGAACTCCTAAAAACCTTGATTCTGGTCTTAAATGACAATACAAACCATAGTAGACCATAGGCAACCTAGACCCAATTTAATTAACCCAAAACTACCCAAATCATATCCCAACTTGAAGTAGAGCCCAAGAGCTTTCCAAATGTTCAAAAATCGCCTGAATCGGACCTACGGATAAAAATATATAATGAATGACAATTTGGTCCTTGTGGGTTGATGACACAGTGAACGCATCTGATGCAATAAACGCTTTTTCTTTAATTAAATAAGGATAAAAGTTCAAGATAAATTCAAAAAATTCATAAAACAATTCCAAAAAAATTAAAAAAAATCACCAATTGAATCTTATAAATACCCCATTCATAACTCAAAAGAAAGAGACCAAAAACCACAAAAAAATCCCTTAGATATTTTTGAAATTAGAAAAATAGCCCAAAAATACCAAAAATTCCAAAAATAGGAAAAACCTTTAGACAATTTCTAAAAATTTAGAAAATCTCAAAAAATTCGAAAAAATTAGAGAAAATCTCATAATTCATATTCAATCACTAAAGATCCCAAAATCCTTAGAAAACTAAGGAAATTCTCCTTCAATATCAAGAAAAAGCCTATGTAGACCCTACCTAAATTTCTCAGTTTTTTCTCCTGCCTTAAGAACCCTACATCTAGGTAAAAAAACATTAGATCTACCAATTTTAGCAAGCAAATGTATCCAAAAAAAGAGATTGTGGCACAAATCGGAAGAGCGGCCAGATCCAAGCCCAAAACTCCAGGTTTCGGGTCCCTAGAGGTAAGTATATCTCTCTTTGCTTAATTTAATTTGTTTTTCTTCATTTAATTATCTGTTTTATATTTTTTTTGAAAATTAATTCATCATTAGATTTAATTTAATTTATAAGCATTTTTTGTCAAAATACGGATTTGGACCTATCGCTGCTAGTGGACTCAGAAAAAGACCGAATATGTATAGATTTGGGATTTTTTTTAGCCAAT